CCCGTCTGAAGTTTGCTAGAGTGCATTTGGATGATCCAGAAGAGGATTGGGAGAATGTCATATGGTCAGATGAAACCAAAATAGAACTTTTTGGTAAAAACTCAACTCGTCGTGTTTGGAGGACAAAGAATGGTGAGTTGCATCCAAAGAACACCATACCTACTGTGAAGCATGGGGTGGAAACATCATGCTTTGGGGCTGTTTTTCTGCAAAGGGACCAGGACGACTGATCCGTGTAAAGGAAAGAATGAATGGGGCCATGTATCGTGAGATTTTGAGTGAAAACGTCCTTCCATCATCAAGGGCATTGAAGATGAAACGTGGCTGGGTCTTTCAGCATGACAATGATCCCAAACACACCGCCCGGGCAACGAAGGAGTGGCTTCGTAAGAAGAATTTCAAGGTCCTGGAGTGGCCTAGCCAGTCTCCAGATCTCAACCCCATAGAAAATCTTTGGAGGGAGTTGAAAGTCCGTGTTGCCCAGCAACAGCCCCAAAACATCACTGCTCTAGAGGAGATCTGCATGGAGGAATAGGCCAAAATACCAGCAACAGTGTGTGAAAACCTTGTGAAGACTTACAGAAAACGTTTGACCTGTGTCATTGCCAACAAAGGGTATATAACAAAGTATTGAGAAACTTTTGTTATTGACCAAATACTTATTTTCCACCATAATTTGCAAATAAATTCATTAAAAATCCTACAATGTGATTTTCTGGATTTTTTTTTCTCATTTTGTCTGTCATAGTTGACGTGTACCTATGATGAAAATTACAGGCCTCTCTCATCTTTTTAAGTGGGAGAACTTGCACAATTGGTGGCTGGCTAAATACTTTTTTCCCCCACTGTATGTAGCCCATGTATCTGATGCGGTCTGGCCAAAAAGAGTATGACATAGCATTCTATTTTTGGCCAGACAGCATCAGATACATGGGCTATACATACTGAGACAGAGGGGCGCTGTTTCACTCTCGCAAATGCTTTATCTGAGATTGATGCATCTTTCTGTCGGCGCGTGTCTCGGCCAAATAAATTATCAATATTTTAATATTTTATTTGGACGGGAGGAGGTACGGTAGGGCGGGTCAGGCCCCCTAAGGCCCGCCCATAACACCGGCCAGGCATAATACTATTGCTGTCCCTGTAAAACAACACATTCCACCACTGCACCTATCCGGTGTATGTGACAATAAATAAAACATATATGTTAAGCCCCACAGTGGATCCATGTCTTTAATCTCTCTCACTCTGCCTCCTTATCCCCAGCTTGGATGTTTGTTAGTGGCCCCTACCAAGGTGGATAACCCCCTCCCATGAGTTACGGCAGGTCTGACCCTCCGCTGTGGCCTCAGTGGGCACCTCCAACATTCAGAGCGGGGTGCTCATTCAACTCTGGCTCCCTGCGCCACCAACATGGGCATGCCAGGAGAAAAACAACCCAGAAATCGATGGCTGCAGGAGTCAAGTGCGGTGGCTCAGAAGAGGGGCCTGGTGAGGGAGCAGACATCAAAGGGGTGTTCAAAGCCTCGCTTCAAACGAGCCAAGGATCAAACGGTAGGAGGAAACAGGTTGGGGGGATTAGAAAACTAGGCCACGTATTGATTGGGTTCCATGTTCTCTGTTTCCAAGGAGGAAGAAGAAGCACTAAACTGTGCCAGGCTGGCACTTTGAATCAGGGCACTGTGAATATATTAGCTACATTGCCTCAAAGGGCTCTGGGTGGAACAATTGCATTTACGTTAATCTCATGAATTACATTAGGAGAAATCAAAGATTATTGATAAATATAAATCGTGCTTACACACACAAGCTTTAGACATTTTTTCCAATTCATGCCAAGGTTGTTTATCAGATCTCAATTCCCTGCTATATCGAAAAACCTTAATCCTCCAGGTAGCTTGAAATCTCCATTGTCATAATCCTTGTGCCAACTAATCTCAATAATCATACTTCACTGTTTGTGTGAGACTGTCAAATTAACTATAAAAGCTTCAGCTGATCGATCAATATGATTGATATAAAGTGCCTTCAGAACGTATTCACACCCCTTGACTTTTTCCAAATTTTGTTGTGTTACAGCCTGAATTTAAAATGGATTCAATTGACATTTTGTGTCACTGTTCTACATACAATACCCCATAATGTCAAAGTGGAATTATGTTTGTAGAAATGTTAGCAAATATATTGAAAATGAAATACAGAAATATTTACATATTCATTAAAAATTAAAAGCTGAAATGTCTTGTGTCAACAAGTATTCAAAATGTGCTTAACAAGTCACATAATAAGTTGCATGGACTCAACTTGTGTGCAATAATAGTGTTTTACATTATTTTTAAATGACTATACCATCTCTGTACCCCACATACAGTGCCTTCAGAAAGTATTCATACTACATGACTTCAAAATTGATTCAATAGATTTTTTCTCTCCCATTTACACACAATACACCATAATGACAAAGCGAAAAGATGTTTGTAGAAAAATTAGCACATTTATTGAAAATGAAATACAGAAATATCTCATTTAAATAAGTATTCACACCCCTGAGTCAATACATGTTAGAATCACCTTTGGCAGTGATAAGAGCAGTGAGTCTTTTTTTATTCTTCCAGCTCTGTCAAGTTGGTTGTTGATCATTGCTATACAGCCATTTCAAGTCTTGTAACTAGTCCCTAAGTCGAGCAGTGAAGTCAAGCAGTGAATTTCCAGCACCGATTAAATCACAAAGACCAGGGAGATTTTCCTATGGTTTTTAAAGAAGGTCACCTATTGGTAGATGAAAAAATAAATACAAATGCAGACATTGAATATCCCTTTGAGCATGGTGCAGTTATTAATTGTACACTTTGGATGGTGTTTTAATACACCCTGTCACTACAAAGATACAGGCGCCATTCCTAAATCAGTTGCCGGAGAGGAAGGAAACCGCTCAGGGATTTCACCATGGCCAATGGTGATTTTAAAACAGTTACAGAGTTTAATGGCTGTGATAGGAGATAACTGCGGATGGATCAACAACACAATACTAACATACAGCAAATTACCAACAACAAAAAAAGGAAGCCTGTACAGAATAAAAATATTCCAAAACATACATCCTGTTTGCAAGGCACTGAAGTAATACTGCAAAAGATGTCTCAAAGAAATGAACTTTTTGTCCTGAATACAAAGCGTTATGTTTGGGGCAAATCCAACACATCACTGAGTACCATTCTTCATACTTTCAAGAATGGTGGTAGCTGCATGTTATAGGTATGCTTGTCTTCGGCAAGATCTAGGGAGTTTTTAGGATCTAAATAAACGGAATAGAGCTAAGCACATGCAAAATCCTAGAGGAAAACCTGGTTTAGTCTGCTTTCCCGACAGACACTGGGAGACAAATTCACCTTTCAGCAGGACAATAACCTAAAACACAAGACCAAATATACACTGGAGTTGTTTACCAAGAAGAAATGTAATGTTCTTGAGTGGATTAGTTACAGTTTTGACTTAAATCGGCTTGAAAATCTAGGCAAGACTTGAAAATGGCTGTCTAGCAATGATCAACAACCAACTTGACAGAGCTTGACACATTTTTTAAAGAATAATGGGCAAATATTGTACAATTCAGGTGTGCAAAGCTCTTAGAGATTTACCCAGAAAGACTCACAGCTGTAATCGCTGCCAAAGGTGATTCTAACATGTATTGACTCAGGGGGTTGAATACTTATCTAGTGAAGATATATTAGTGTTTTATTTTCCATTATCCTCTTAAGGATCGGACCCTTTTTTTCAATTTTCGGCTAAAATGACATACCCAAATCGAACTGCCTGTAGCTCAGGACCTGAAGCAGGATATGCTTTTGAAAGGAAACACTTTGAGGTTTGTGGAAATATGAAATTAATGTAGGAGAATATAACACATTAGATCTGGTAAAAGATAATACAAACAAAAAACATGCATTTTCTATTATTTTAATTTAACATTATTAAATTATTACATCATGTTTGAAATGCAAGAGAAAGGCCACAATATAATATTGCAGTTCAGGCGCAATTTAGATTTTGGCCACTAGGTGGCATCAGCGTGTTTGTTAAGTTTCAGATTGATCCAGTGAAGCATTGCAATACTGAACTATTTTGTATCAAGTCTGCCCAAATGTGATGAATTGGTCAATTTATACATTTTCAAGTACATAACTATAGAGAACATACAAAAATTATATGGTAATACAAAATGTATGTTTACACACTCCCAAGAATGTCATACATGATGGATCATTAGCTTATACACTAACTTTCACACATCTAGATGGCCGGGTGGGGTGGGTGTGGAGCCAGAGACAGCAGGGGTTCAAAATGTAGAACCCAGTTCCTACATTTGAATATAAAAATGGATTTGATCAAACATAACTATGATACATTTTATCTCTGGGACCCTTAGGATGACAAATCAGAGCAAGATTACTGAATGTAAGTACATTATTTACCTTCAGAGGTGAATGTATCAAACCAGTTGCTGTGATAAGTTTTTTGTTGTTGTGCACTCTCCTCAAACAATAGCATGGTCGTTTTTCACTGTAATAGCTGCTGTAAATTGGACAGTGCGGTTAGATTAACAATAATTTCAGCTTTCTGCCCATATAAGACATGTCTATGTCCTGTAAAGTTTGCTGTTACTTACAACAGTCATGCTAATCGCATTAGTGCACGTTAGCTCAACCGTCCCGTATACGGGACACCGATCCCGTAGAGGTTAATTAAAACAATATATAATAATCTTCTTCCACTTGACATTACAGAGTATTTTGTGTATATTGTTGACAAAAAATGACAATTAAATACATTTTAATCCCACTTTGTAACAACAAAATGTGGAAAAAGTAAATGGGTGTGAATACTTTCTGAAGGCACTGTATGAAACCACACAGTGGCCCTATTAAGTGAAAGCTGTGGCTGGTGTTCTGAACAGAGGAGGTTAAAACATAATAACAAAGCAGTGCTCCCTCTCTCACCCTCAGGAAGGAGTCCAGGGCCCCGTTCTCCATAAACTCTGTGATGATCATGACTGGCCGGCTCTTAGTGACCACGCCCTCCAGTCGGATGATGTTGGGGTGGTCAAACTGGCCCATGATGCTGGCCTCAGACAGGAAGTCCCGTCTCTGCTTCTCCACGTAGCCCGCCTTCAGGGTCTTAATGGCCACGTACAGCTCCCTCTTCCCAGCCGGCTTTAGACGACCCTTATACACCTCCCCAAACTCGCCTGGAGGGAAAGACATGGGATTACTGATTGATTACCTTATTACAAAGCCAGCTACCAGTATGCAAGCTGATGCCATATATTTTCACTTCCTATTCTAATACATATAGCACATGTACAATCATAAAGATAAAACACTATGTGTCACAGACACAGAGATGAAGAGAGTGTTAACCTCTGGCTCCCTCTGCTTCCCAGTATCATAGAGCCCAGTTTCAGGGTCATAAGACAAGTGCTGTGCTGACAAGTCTACAGACGTCAAACATCAGCCAGTGAGAGGATCGTTCTTTTGCTGAATGCATGAATATGTCAAGTCAAGTAAAAAATAAATGTCCCCGACAGATAAAATCAGCATGAATTAAAGATGAATGGAGGCGGTCCGGTTACTGAGATAGCAGCTAAAATTGTCCTCTGTAAAGAGAGAATCTCTGTGAAGTGGAGATGGTTCTCTATCTAAAGTGGTATAAAAAAAAACAGAATAGCTGTGCTAACACCTGGATACTGTACAGGTAGAGAGAAAGAGGAGGAGAGAATGATATAGATTCATGGATGCAGCAGAGGTACTCTATTTCCACCATCTTACTGAATGTTAGGTTTCCCCTCTTCCCATATTCACCTGCACCAATGACTTCCTCGATCTTCACACAAGACACGTCGATCTCCTTGGCGAACTCTCGGACGGCCTCGTTGGGGTCCTCGTAGGTGAAGGGATCGATGTAGATCTTAATCCCTGGTGAGCCAGAGAAGTGGGTGGGGCATCCCATGGGGGAAGGGCAGTTGGACATGTCTGGTCTCAGAGAGAGCTCTGGAACGGAGACAGAGAAGGAGGAGAGGTTAGGATGAGCACGGGGAAGCTCAAACAAATATCTCATCAGTGTTTGTCCGTGTGTGACTATGTGTATGTACAGTATGTGTGTGCGTGTCATCTCCGTGTTTTTCAGCCATCTCTCTCTCTCTCTCTCTCTCTCTCTCTCACACACACACACACACACACACACACACACACACACACACACACACACACACACAGATGTAAACTATTTCCCGTAATAGCTGTGGAAGGCAATTTCCTTAGCTCCTCTCTCCCACCTTCAGGAACTGAGCATAAACTTATAAAAATGACACAATATCACATTACCCTCTACACAGATGATAAGGGTGAGTCACTGACAATAGTAGCTTGGAATCTGAGTGCTACTGTCGTCCGGAGCAATGGAAAAATGAGAAATACAGAATGCAGAGACCCTCACGAAAATATATGTGTTATTTGGCAAGTGTGTATGTGTGTGAGTGGGCATAATTGTGTTGTTTAGTGTGAGAGAAGTGCTGTGTTTTTTAGACTGAAGAGTTGATCCTGACTGTTGTCCTGGAACCGATTTTATGAGGCCATAACATTCATCAAATCAAATTTTATTGGTCGGCTCTGTCAGGTTGGATGGGGAGTGTCACTTCACAGCTATTTTCAGGTCTCTCCAGAGATGATAGATCGGGTTCAAGTCCGGGCTCTGGCTGGGCCACTCAAGGACATTCAGAGACTTGTCCCGAAGCCACTCCTGCGTTGTCTTGGCTGTGTGCTTAGGGTCGTTGTCCTGTTGGAAGGTGAACCTTCAGCCCAGTTTGAGGTCCTGAGCGCTCTGGAGCAGGTTTTCATCAAGGATCTCTCTGTACTTTGCTCCGTTCATCTTTCACTTGATCCTGACTAGTCTCCCAGTCCCTGCTGCTGAAAAACATCCCCACAGCATGATGCTGCCACCACCATGCTTCACTGTAGGGATGGTGCCAGGTTTCCTCCAGACGTGTTGTTTGGCATTCAGGACAAAGAGTTCAATCTTGGTTTCATCAGACCAGAGAATCTTGTTTCTCATGGTCTGAGAGTCCTTCATGTGCATTTTACTGAGGAGTGGCTTACGTCTGGCCACTCTACCATAAATGCCTGATTGGTGGAGTGCTGCAGAGATGGTTGTGCTTCTGGAAGGTTCTCCCATCTCCACAGAGGAACTCTGGAGCTCTGTCAGAGTGACCATCGGGTTCTTGGTCACCTCCCTGACCAAGGCCCTTCTCCTCCGATTGCTCAGTTTGGCTGGGCGTCCAGCTCTAGGAAGAGTCTTAGTGGTTCCAAACTTCTTCCATTTAAGAATGATGGAGGCCACTGTGTTCTTGGGGACCTTCAATGCTGCAGACATTTTTTGGTACCCTTCCCCAGATATGAGTCTCATAGCAAAGGGTCTGAATACTGTAAATAAGGTATTTCTGTTTTTATTTTTAATAAATTAGCAAACATTTCTAAAAACCTGTTTTCGCTTTGTCATTATGGGGTACTGTGTAGATTGATAAACAAAACAAATATTTAATCAATTTTAGAATAGGGCTGTAACTTAACAAAATGTGGAAAAAGGGAAGGGGTCTGAATACTTTCCGAATGCACTGTACATATGAAATGGGTAAAACAGTATGTAAACATAATTAGTGACCTGTATTCAATGACTACGTACATAGGGCAGCAGTCTCTAAGGTGCAGGGTAGAATGCCGGACGGTAGCCGGCTAGTGACTAAGTTCAGGGCAGGCTACTGGGCGGAGGCCGGCTAGAGGTGACTATTTAACAGTCTGATGGCCTGGAGATAAAAGTTTTTTCAGTCTCTCTGTCCCAGCTTTGATGCAACTGTACTGTCTCCAGCTTCTAGATGGTAGCGGGGTGAACAGGCCGTGGCTCAGATGGCTGAGGTCCTTGATGATCTTCTTGGCCTTCCTGTGACACCGGGAGCTGTAGATGTCCTGGAGGGCAGGCAGTGTACCCCCGGTGATGCGTTGGGCTGAAACCGCTAAAACCCTCATACATGCATTCATCTCCTCCCGTCTTGACTACTGCAACTCACTTCTCTCCGGCAACAACTCAAGCTCCCTCCATAAGCTCCAAATGGTTACAATTCTGCATTCTGACTCACCCACACTAAGTCCTGGCAGCACATCACCCCTGTCCTTCGTGAACTCCACTGGCTCCCTGTCTCCCAACGCATTGATTATGAGATCCTCCTTCTGACCTACAAAGCCCTTCACCACCTTGCCCCCACTTACCTCTCAGACCTTCTTCTCCCCTACCAACCCACACGCACACTCCATTCCACCACAGCCGGCCACCTTGCTATCCCCAGGTCGAAGCTCCAGAGCTTCGGCGACAGGGCCTTCTCCAGGCTTGCTCCTAGGCTCTGGATGTCCCTCCAGCCACCCATGACTCAGAGTCCATCATTGCCTTTCAGTCCCTCCTAAAGCCCCACCTCTTTGACAAGGCCTACCCTTAAGCCGCCCCGAATAAGACATTTAATTATTACAGGTACTTCCTGTTGAAGTTTCTGGCTATAGGAGGGGAGGAGCAAAATGGAGGCGTGATCTGATTTGCGAAAGGAAAATCAAGCCTAACAGTGCATCAAAATCACAAATGGATTTGGCTTGAATGTTGGTGCTTACACACTGGTGCCTCCATTTGAACTGTGATGATATATTCTTCTGTAATCAAAACTGTCCTCAGACATCCCCTTGCTATTTTGCCAAGCTGACCAAATGATTAGATTGGTTTATTTTTCCTCCAAGCAAGATGGAAAAAGTCCCTGGAAATCAAGCAAAAGACTAGCAGACCAAACTATGTTTTTGATCCCAGGGACATATAAGATGATCAGAGTGACTCACAGAGTCCTAGCAAACATTGCCACGTAAGAGAGGGAAACGCGTCATAACACACACTAAGATGAAAAATTTCAGGAAATATCACCTCCTGCAGTAGACATCCAATTTTAACATTCAGAGAAAAATGAGATCCCACACAATGCACTTGCACAGTATCACTTTTTTATTTACATTTCCTAGGCACCTGCAAAGCAAACCCTAAATGTGTGTGTGCATTTCACTTTTATGATAGAGAAAAAACTAAGTAAACTTAAACTGGACACTTTAGCTGGATTTGCATAATTAAGGTCAAGGTAAACTATAGATTTTTCAGATATCTGCATATTTCTACATGTATTCTACACTACAAAAATGGAAGAATAATAGAACTATTGAAGGTAAAGGACAATCAGAAGGGTTGACTTGAGACCATCTATTCTGTGGCCCTTGTGGGAGATCAAGGCTTGGTTCTCAATGGAACAGGATTGGCTCATTCTGACATTGTCCTAATTGCTTTGAACCAATAGGATACTCAGATTTAATAGACAATTAAATGAATCCAAACACACTCAAATGAGAGGATTTACTCAGGCGCTGGGGGAAGAGAAACAGCTCACCATCCCATAATGGGTTTCTTGGCAACCAGCACTGACTGTACTATTATAAGAGTCTATCTGCACACCGTCCAAATCTTTTCACACCACATGTGCAGAATCTATTCAATTTATGATCAGCAACATATAATTTTATGTCTTGTTTAAATGGCAGTTTTCTTTTATCTTCACCTGTGCTGTGGCACCATCTTTCATGGATGGCTGAGAGAATTAATAGATTTAAATGTAAACATTCTCTGCCTCTCTGATCTGAGTGCTTAGAATGTCCATCAAACAGAATGACAGTTTAATGCTATTAATCCTGAGAGAGAGAGAGGGAGAGGGAGAGGGAGAGGGAGAGGGAGAGGGAGAGGGAGAGAGGTAGAGAGGGAAGAGAGGGAAGAGAGAGAAGAGAGAGAAGAGAGAGAGGAGAGAGAAGAAGTAACTGAACAGGGCAATAAGACTCTGGGGAAATTCACCCTTAATTAGGCCGGATTCAGAATCCATGGTAACAGATTGAGCTGTGAAAGGTCAGGGCCCTGTAGGCACTCGATTGGCAGCATGTTATCCAATATCAATAATTTTAGCTGTAAAACGGTGAAACTTGTACATGCTTTAACCCCTATTCCCCGACCACTGCCCTGGTCCAGAACCCACTGTACGTAGGAGACGTGTGTGTGTGTGTGTGTGCGAGTGCAAGTGCGAGAGAGAGAAAGAGAGAGAGAGGAAGAGAGAAAGAAGGAGAGAGAAAGCATGATAAAAATGAATAATTAGTACATTTACAAGGTGTATATCATCCTAAAGCACTGTGTTGGGATATCTCAACTCATCTGGCACCATTGTATAGCATCCACGTACTGGAGAGGAACAGGGAGGCGGGGATGGAGGAGGAGAGGTAACGAGCTGTGTCTTAAATCGATCATCTGTCAAAATAGCCAGGATGTTATATAAGGGCCAGACTGGGGTGATGGGAGTCAGATGTTGTGTGGTGCCTCTGGTGAAGTTACTGGTAGGAGAGCGTGGGAGTGGGAGGGTCAGTGGGGTGTGTGGGATGGGACGAGAGCTGTATGCTTACCTCTGCCTGTACTGTAGTGCTGCAGTTTGTCACTGTATATAGTCTCCTTCATGTACGATCTCTTCCTGCAGCAAAGAATCAGCGAAAGACGGTTATGTAACCATATTTGACAATATAACGGCACTGTATTAAACGTTTGTAATATTACCATTTAATTCCTGGGATGCATAACCCCTGAACATATTCCTGGTAACACCAAGTATGAGCAGTGACTAAGTGATTGTTACCTGCTGCAGACAATGGAGATGGCCACCAATGACACAAGGAAGACCACTCCTGCAGCCGCTGAGCCTGCAATCAAAGGCAGCTGCTCCCTCAGCTCCGACTTATACTCATCTGCAACAAAACACACACAGAGAGAGAGAGACAGAGAGAGACAGAGAGAGAGAGGGACAAAGAGAGAGAGTTGAAGGCGAGGTAAAAGAGGTCAGAGAAAAGGTGTGAAAAGTGAAGCGGTGAGAGGAGAAGAGAGGAAAGGATGGGAGAGAAGAGAAACAGGAGTATTGGAACAGTTAAATGGTATTGGGACAGTGTCAAAATATCTTTCTTTACTGGCTCTGTGAAATACACAGACATGTGGGCTAGTATCTGTGCAGACAGACAGTCCCTCAGAGTGACACATAGCTTCCTGACACAGCTAATCCCCTTACACACTCAATAGGAGTCAGAAGAACGCCTGCTAATCTCAGCACAAATGCTCTATTACGTGTCAGAGGGATAGTTAAGAAAGTAAACAGGAACACCATACATTCATATGTATGGATCGGATTAAAAGGATGTGTTGCTGTTCTGTCATTTCCAACTGAATCATACATTCTCCAGTATTTATCCATATTCATTCATATAACCATTAATATTTTGTTTTGAATGAACAGCATCCTTTTTCATATTATGTTGTTTCCATATGGGTTATAATTGTTTATACCATTTTGTGGAAGCTTTCAAAATAGTTCCTAGCAATAACAAATATTGTAGACTTATTTTGGTGCAACATTTGCATAAAAGCGTGATTTTTTAAACTTTTTATTGGGTTCAGAGTTTTACAACTTTTCTAAGACTGATGACTCAACTGTTTTGTGGGGGAACGGATGCTGCTGCAACCCCAAGGCTTCAGCAGGCGCTGCTGCTAGAGATCCCTTAATGCCCTACACCACACTGTGAGCATGCAGGGGCTCTCTGTTGGCTGCTTTCCTACACTACACTATGCAGCTGTGCCACCTGCAAAGACTCACTCTGGCTAACACCTCAAATGTGCATTTTCCCCCGAACAAAAGGAATTAGTCAGATGATAGGAACCAGCGCCATATAACCTAAAACACAAGGTCAAATCTACACTGGAGTTACTTACCAAGACGACATTAAATGGTGGCCTAGTTACAGTTTTGACTTAAATCGGCTTGAAAATCTATGGCAAGACTTGAAAATGGCTGTCTAGCAATGATCAACAACCAACTTGACAGCTTGACACATTTTTTAAAGAATAATGGGCAAATGTTCTTCCACTTTGACATTACAGAGTATATTGTGTAAATCGTTGACAAAAAATGACAATGAAATCCATTTTAGTCCCACTTTGTAACAGCAAAATGTGGAAAAAGTCAAGGGGTGTGAATACTTTCTGAAGGCACTGCAAATACATGGCTCTGGTAGGAACTACTTTGATCCGGACATTGACTTTGGAATATGTATATTAAAAATAAATCCTAATATCAAGGGAATGTGTTTTATAAAATATTTTCATCACCTGCTCTGCGTCGACACATGCCAATGTATTGAAGTAATGACAGTTAATGTTTTAAGTTATTACTATATCCAATCTCCCACACCCAGTCCACAGACACAAAGACCCGCATGGCGGTGTCACACGCACACACACACACACACATACACACACGGAGCATACCATCTGTCAGGGTTTGGAAGCACTGCTTGCTGCTGTATTTGCCGAAGCCTGCCACCGTCCTGGCACGGACCTGTACCACGTACATGATGCTTGGCCTCAGGCCCTCCACACGGGCAGTGTTGGTCTGGCTCCGCACCATGGTTGAATTCAACTCAGTGTGGTCCTGTAACAATCAGGGAGAGATAGAAAAAGAGGGGAAAAAGAGCTAGAGAATATTACATCTGTTCATCACACTGGGCTTGCAGCTTTTAGGCAGTGGAGTATCACAACTCGAGTCAACCCCTAATCCTAATACACACACTACATACTGCCCTGTGTGCTTAGATAACAAAATGGCCCCTTTTCCTCCTTATGTTTGTGTATGAGATTATACTGGATGGTGGATTTCCACATTGGCCTCCACTGTTGCACTCTTTAAACAGCCATAGAGGTGAATTAGGCTTTTCACATACACACAGTATATAATTTTAGAATAATTTTAATTGGGCCACATAAAATAAATAGGGACATCGAGCAATGAGTGGGGTGTTGAGAAAAAAGAGTTCCAAACAACATCCCCATATTAGATCTTTCATCATGCTGCAGCATATCGGTAGCTGATCCTGGTTTTAGAATCCATGCATAGACATATTCATCATCAATCATCAACCAGAGTTACCACACACATCTCTCCTTTCAGATCGTTGGCTCATCACAACACACCTTTTCACTGGCATTGTGTGTGCTTGGAGAGCTCATGGCATTTGCTTTTCTTTCTCTGTTTGCTTTAATCCCTCTCTGTCTGTCTCTCTTTCCAGACTCTTCCCTCTGTGGAGGGATGAGAGCAAACAGGAGCAGGAGGTGGAAAAACACTGAGACGTGTCCAGGTTCACCTCAGACCAGAGTGAAGGGATACAGGGAGAAAATAGCTTGTGTGAGATGTGGATTGTATGCTCTTTTTTTTTTACAGAACACATGAGTCTATGTACATGTCCAGCATGTGTTTAGTAAGTGTTTAGTGAGAATGTGTGACTTCGTATTTGTCAGGTTAGGTCTGCTGGTTTGTATAAAGACTGAACGCATTTTCAGTCTGGACCATAGAAACAGTAAGTATCCTCCATGGTGGTCATTTATAACAGGAAAGATGTGTGCATACACAGCAGACACACAAAAACAGCCAACCCACAGAGACAGAGAGAGACAGAGGAAGGAAGGGAGCGCTCTCCTCAGCTAATGGAGGCTCTGACCTTCCTCTATCAGAAGAAAAACACTGAGCAGAAATTAGATGCAACTTCACCCCTGAAATATAGCTGCTTCCTCGCTCAGCCCATGCCCTCCCTAAATGACAAGGTCCAGTGCAGAATTAGATATGGGGGACTTTGTATAATGCCTGACTTTCCTTAAATGCCCAAGGCCACTTATCTCTATTCCCCAGAAATACCCAGCGAACCGCCCTTTACCCATCTCCCAATCCCATCCCTCTGAAACCCCAACCCATCCTCCCCTGGCCTTATCCCCCCCCTGGCATTCTTAAAGATTTGTGAGGGGTGTAGACTCCTAGAGCTGTGGAGGGGGACTGTGAACTGAACTCTCAACAGCCTAGCAGTGTTCAGCCTGGCAGTGTTCAGCCTGGCAGTGTCCATGGCACTTCAGTCAAAGCTGACGGATGAAATATGCCTTGTTGGCCCTTGCCATTTCACTTTCAATAGCAGACTCCACCTTGCCATCACGCCAATATTCTCACTGCTTATCATCACACCAGCTTTGATGCTCAGCAAGAAGGCCAAGATGGCGTCCACTACCTCAGCACAGGCTAGCAAATGGAATTCTTCTCACACAGGCAGAGAATGCGGAATGGGGTTTGTACTCGGACCGAGTAGAGTATTACATAATAGGATATTGTGACAGGGAGTGCTGACATTATCAGTGTGCTGTCCCACCGGGAAACCAACCTCTTCTTCACTGTCTGCAGGAGGAAGAAAAAGACCTTCGGTGGAATAGAGATTATCTTATATCTGCTTTCATTAGCCAATTGGTGCAATCCAGGCCCAATCCCAAATCAAACCACCCCCAAGGCTCCAGACATTCCCTGGAGAGTGCAGCTGGGCGACTGGCATTTAACACAGAAATACTGGACGGGGGGTGGTGAAACTAGGAAGGGAGTGGCAGACAGGAAATAGCATGTTACACTGGCCCTCCATACATAATTATCATATTCAACAAGCATGAACCCTATTTGTGGGCTGTGTTCTTTTTTGTATGAAAGATGTGTAGTTCTCCACAAAGCATCATGCACACTGTGGTGGTACTCTTTGATGATGTCATGATTTCAAAAATTATTTTGATCATCTTTACTTTTTGCTCTGACACATTTTCCTGCTGCCCAGACAGAGGTGATAAAGCTATAGTATTATATTAGGCAGACCAGGTAGATAAAAAAGTATGGAAATAGAACAAAGCGTTCAAACTCGTATTCCTGCAATTTGATCCAGAATTCTCTTCATTCTTCTCTATGGGGGAGTGTAACCTGGTCCTGGGGTAATAGTATAATGTATTATTCTCCTTCCAAGCCCAGTGTTGTGTGTGTGGGGCCATCTTCTCTGACTCTCCACCCTGAGGACTCTGGTTTTCTCGTCATCTCTTCTTTGCAGTATGGCTGCGGTCCAGGTAAATATCCCTATCCCCATCTCCACGATATTACTATTGTGTCTCTGAGGAAATTAGTTTGTTCAGCACTATGTTGTGTCTATGGAACCACTGTGGGAGTCCTGAAATACAGAACCACCTCAAATAAACCTGTGACTTCTGCTGTGATGAAAAAGGTGTGTCTCTATATTTAAATATAACTACTGTCTCAGGACAGAAGAGAAATACAGAAACTGCCAAAGCTCCCCCTCACCTTGAAAGCAAAACATTTTTGCTGCCCGCCCGTGACAGTGAAGAGAAAAACATTTACGTTTTAAAGTTAATTTCCTGCAATTCTACACATTTTGCCATGGGGCGGAGAGAAGTTTTTGTTATTTTATAACTAATTTCATGCCATTCTACTCATTTTGCCATTGAGCGGAGAGAAAAATTTGCAATTTTACAGCTAATTTCCTGCAATTCTACACATTTTGCCATAGGATGGAGGCAAATGTTTGCAGTTTTTAATATGATAACTGATGATCAATCGGCCCATGCTTACTACAAGTTTAGATAGCTGGCCCCTAGACTAACTTATCAATCTAAAATAAATGGCTAACATGGGCTAATTGAGTGACTGCTGATTGTCCACAGGCATACTAAAGGTTTGCCCATCCCAAATACAGACATAGACAGACAGATTAAAACAATTGTGGCCCTGTCCATTAAAAGTAAAAATGCTAAAATTGCTAGTTGTCTTTGACATACAGAACACTCAATATCTTTAACGCAACTTAGCCTGTTTAAATAGGCCAACTACAGTGTTGCTAGCCTCCCTCTTCTCGTGCTCTCACAACTGGACATATGAAGTGCTTATTAATAACAACCTTTCACTGATTGCCAAGAAAACAACAAAGTCATCAGAGGACAGAGAGGGTTTTGACCAAACTCTCTGAAAGAGCAAATTTGACAGCATTATGTTGGATAATATACATTATTACAGTAAATGCAGTCTTTATGAGAGTACAGTGCTGTCAACACAGCCTTTTCAATAGAAACCACAAGTGACATCCTATCCATTAACTCCATAGGTATGACCATACAATATGAGAGAGGAAAAGAAGAGAGCCAGAGAAGGATACTGACAGAAGGCTGTAGAGGTGCAGCAGGCAGAGAGAGAAAATGAAAAGGAAATGGACACAACAATGGAAAAACAGTGTAAATCAATGAGAAAGAGGGAGATACAGTGGGGGGGAAAAGTATTTAGTCAGCCACCAATTGTGCAAGTTCTCCCACTTAAAAAGATGAGAGAGGCCTGTAATTTTCATCATAGGTACACGTCAACTATGACAGACAAAATGAGAATTTTCTTTCCAGAAAATCACATTGTAGGATTTTTAATGAATTTATTTGCAAATTATGGTGGAAAATAAGTATTTGGTCAATAACAAAAGTTTCTCAATACTTTGTTATATACCCTTTGTTGGCAATGACACAGGTCAAACGTTTTCTGTAAGTCTTCACAAGGTTTTCACACACTGTTGCTGGTATATTGGCCCATTCCTCCATGCAGATCTCCTCTAGAGCAGTGATGTTTTGGGGCTGTCGCTGGGCAACACGGACTTTCAACTCCCTCCAAAGATTTTCTATGGGGTTGAGATCTGGAGACTGGCTAGGCCACTCCAGGACCTTGAAATGCTTCTTACGAAGCCACTCCTTCGTTGCCCGGGCGGTGTGTTTGGGATCATTGTCATGCTGAAAGACCCAGTCACGTTTCATCTTCAATGCCCTTGCTGATGGAAGGAGGTTTTCACTCAAAATCTCACGATACATGGCCCCATTCATTCTTTCCTTTACACGGATCAGTCGTCCTGGTCCCTTTGCAGAAAAACAGCCCCAAAGCATGATGTTTCCACCCCCATGCTTCACAGTAGGTATGGTGTTCTTTGGATGCAACTCAGCATTCTTTGTCCTCCAAACACGACAAGTTGAGTTTTTACCAAAAAGTTATATTTTGGTTTCATCTGACCATATGACATTCTCCCAATCCTCTTCTGGATCATCCAAATGCACTCTAGCAAACTTCAGACGGGCCTGGACATGTACTGGCTTAAGCAGGGGGACACGTCTGGCACTGCAGGATTTGAGTCCCTGGCGGCGTAGTGTGTTACTGATGGTAGGCTTTGTTACTTTGGTCCCAGCTCTCTGCAGGTCATTCACTAGGTCCCCCCGTGTGGTTCTGGGATTTTTGCATTTTGACCCCACGGGGTGAGATCTTGCGTGGAGCCCCAGATCGAGGGAGATTATCAGTGGTCTTGTATGTCTTCCATTTCCTAATAATTGCTCCCACAGTTGATTTCTTCAAACCAAGCTGCTTACCTATTGCAGATTCAGTCTTCCCAGCCTGGTGCAGGTCTACAATTTTGTTTCTGGTGTCCTTTGACAGCTCTTTGGTCTTGGCCATAGTGGAGTTTGGAGTGTGACTGTTTGAGGTTGTGGACAGGTGTCTTTTATACTGATAACAAGTTCAAACAGGTCCCATTAATACAGGTAACGAGTGGAGGACAGAGGAGCCTCTTAAAGAAGAAGTTACAGGTCTGTGAGAGCCAGAAATGCTGCTTGTTTGTAGGTGACCAAATACTTATTTTCCACCATAATTTGCAAATAAATTCATAAAAAATCCTACAATGTGATTTTCTGGATTTTTTTTCTCAACTTGTCTGTCATAGTTGACGTGTACCTATTATGAAAATTACAGGCCTCTCATATTTTTAAGTGGGAGAACTTGCACAATTGGTGGCTGACTAAATACTTTTTTCCCCCACTGTATAGAGGAAGCTGAGAGAGCCAGAGGGAGGCTAGGGCGATGGAGTGGATATAAGGTTAGAGAGACCACAGGGCAGCCCTCACTAAGCATGTTTACTACCTAATGATATAAAGAGGCTATGTGTGCTGCCGCTACTCAGTGGAGAAGAGGCTGTGTGGAGGAGCCACAGGTTAGACAGGGTTGGTGAAGGACCCAGACTGAGAGGACACCTTTCACACAAACTAGGTCCAAGCACGCCAGTATCCTAGCAACCCAGTGCTCTGTGCTCATCCAAAGAAGACGCCAGTTAAACGCAATTAATGGATAATTATCAAGGTTGCAAAGGCATTCTCAGATGCAATGAGGGGAATGACTCAAACATCAGAGTGGACAATATAATTAGAGTAAACGTGTCAAGTATAATGACACATGAGTATTGAGTCCCATGGGGAAAAGGATAAAGGCATAAAGGCTAATATTCTCAACAAGCTTGGTAGACCAATACCCGTCCAGAAGATTCACCCAATAGAGACAACCTTCTGGGTGTCTTTCCATTGAAGGTAAAGTAGATGCCTCTGGTGGACATAATGATCTGCTCAGGTATTTTAGTTCTTATTACAGACATCAATTATTAAAATGTTGTCTTACCTTTTCATAGTACCTCAGTTCATAGTCCAAGATGATTCCATTGGGCTGCTCAGGCTGTGGCCATGACAACGTGAAGCTCTTCATGGTGGAGCTGACCTGGTGCATGATGGGAACCATGGAGGGAGCTAAGGGAACAGGCAAAAGGGGCAAGGTCAACTGTATGGATGCTTCCTTAGTACTCTTTAGTATTGCAACCATCCTACATGTTTGATCAATGTTATGAAATAAAGGCCTTCTGTGCTGAAACTGTATGAAGCTTTGAAGCTTTTTTCCTTGATAGGAAGAAAGAACATGCTTGACTGAAGAGTCCCATTTAATTTAATGGCTTTTAAATCTCTTAGGAAACACTACAGATTTATGATGTCGTCATACCATTCCTTTAAGCAGTACTGAGGTATCCTTGGTCATAGTATTTCTATTACAACAATTATATGGCATCGAACTGAGCTCACTTTATAGCACATTTGATTTGTAGCCCTCCTTTCCCCTTACAGACAGAAATAAAGTTGAAATGCCCATTACATGTTTTATGAATTAAACCTCAGCCCATTCAATTTCCTCCCTCTCTCTCTGCTACCACCATAATCCCCCAGGCCACCATCTCCAACAACCCATCATCTTAACCCAGGGAGGGTGGAGGGCACGACAGCAAGCCCTAGACCAGGGATGGAGAGAGGAGTGTAGGATATTACCCCCAAAGCATTATTACACTTAATGGTGTATCTGTTTGTATGTTTGTCTTACAGCCCGACAGTTCTATGTGACTGAGCATCCTTACTGTAGCAGCGGCAGGGAGAGTTGGTAATGTTGAGCGGCTGTCTGTGCACTGCTGCTCTGGCTGATAGAAGCGTGGATAGTCATCAGTCAGCGAGAGGAGGCTCTCTGGCTTTCTTTCACGCACCGCTGCTCCAGCTTTGCGCCACGTTATCAATTACGCTGAGCCTGGCTAGCAGTGAGGCAGCAGTCTACAGGCCCCCAGCACATCCTATCATTCAGACCGTTTCAAATGTGCTGCTTTCCTTGCCTCAAATGGCCTGATTTTTATTCTATTCAATTCAATTCATTTTTTATTTCATTTGCTGATTTGGTTTTTGGAATATGAGATATGGTGCTAGATTTTAGTGAGTGAAACTCTAGCTAAGTGGATTGGAATCTCCCTAACACAAATGTTTTATATTTTTGGAGCACACAGGGTTTATGGTGAGGGGTGAACGATTCAGGCCAAACCCTATTACTATGACAAGTAATGCAATATATACTGTGTGTGTGCATGTGTGTGTGGTTGTACTACAAGGAAACTGTGGGGGTATTTCACCGGTCTCCACAAGGAAAATGTGGGGGTATTTCACCGGTCCCCACAAGGAAAATGTGGGGGTATTTCACCGGTCCCCACAAGGAAACTGTGGGGGTATTTCACCGGTCCCCACAAGGAAAATGTGGGGGTATTTCACCGGTCCCCACAAGGAAACTGTGGGGGTATTTCACCGGTCCCCACAAGGAAAAAGGCTATTTTAGGCTTAGGGGTTAGGTCTAGGGTTACAATTAGGGTTAGGTTTAGAATTAGGGTTAGGGTTTGAGGTTTAGGGTTAGGAGTAGGGTTAGGTTTAGGGGTTTAGGGTTAAAGTTAGGGTTAGGTTAAGGGGTAGGGTTAGGGTTAGGACTTAGGGTTAGGGGTTAAGGTTGGGTTAGGTTAAGGGTTAAGGAAAATAGGATATTGAATGGGAATCAATTGTTTGGTCCCCACAAGGATAGTAAAACAAACGTGTGTGTGTGTGTGTGTGTGTGTGCGTGTGTGAGAGTGTGTGTGCTGTGTGTGTCTGTGTGTTCCCTATCCTCTATGACTGTGGCTGGCACTAGGCTGAGTGAATTAGGAGCCAAATCAGAGAGGAATAAAAAACACTGTCAGTTCTCTAAGAAAATAAATCTGCCACGCTAGACTAGACTTCATGCTCAGCTCAGAATTATGGCTGTCTGAGTTACAGCCCCAAAGCGGATATTTAAAAACTCTACAAAAAAGCCATCTGACATTTCCTCTACTAAGTGTGGTGACGCATCCCTGACATAAAAAGACATGCGTCTGGGTTGTTGCTCTTTCAACTGCTGTTAACTGCCTCAACCTCCACTGGCAAGCCGTGAAATTCAATAGTTTGTTGCTAATACTTACAATGCATGTTTTTTTTCTGATTGTCATGCTGAAACTATCAATACGATGTTGCCCCTGACAAAAAAAGGACTCCAAAATCTCCATAAACAATGACACTGAGTGAGGCCGATGTTAAGTTACTACAGTGACATTGAGGTCTTCATCATCATTTTTGAAATATTGGGCTTCCTGTAACCGATCCATTTTTATTGGCCGAGGTAAACTAGCAGAGCTCTCAAAGGCCTGCCTCAGCGTGTTGCTATTTTTATGTCTCCAAGATGTGTGTGGATTTACAAGGAGAGAAATGTGTAGAGGAGGATTTGAACAAGCAAGATAGGGTGGTAAAACTGTCAGAGTTCCAATCTCCTGAGCACCCTCATAAGGTAAGAATGTCCCACAGAAGCAGGATCTCCATATCCCAAGACCGCTTCCCACAAGAATAAGGCAGAGCTTGTTTTTGGAGGAAAAGTACAAAGATAGTTCTTCACATATATCAGACAAAACAATGTTACCTTTTTGTCAGATAGGCTTCATCATTAGGAAAGTCTCATTAAGGCCAACGATTAATGTAATGTTGAGGATGTCCCCATTTCCTTTACCAATTTGGATCAAAACAACATGAATTGAAAGTATTTTGGTCGTACTACAATTTGTTTTTGTCCTTCTTTCTCTGTATTTTCTTTCTGAATGCATTGTTCTGTCTCTCTCGCTCTCCCTCTCTCTCTGTGTGAATGTTTTATAGCTCTAGATAACGCCTCTACTCAGGCAGAGGAAGTGTGAAGCATCAGGGATCCCTCACACAGAGACAGATAGTCCTCCTGATAGCCAGACATAGCCTGTCATCTTGCCTAGTGCAATATTTCCATCTGTTTCTTGTTTTCTTATTTACCAGACGTTGGTTCAGATGCAATTTCCAAATGTCCTGATAGGGCACAGGAGACAAACTGACCAAAACACAAGAGCATGGCTTTCTGTGATAAGATATTAAATATAGCTAACTGCCAGTGGCTACTGTAGCTATACTTGTACCTTGATTTTATTCCATATTTTCCTGAGGTGTTTACTTATGTGTAAATGGTGGCAAAGAATACAGTCACTGCAAGCGTTTCCTGTCTCATCCCCCCAAAAATGTTACCCTTATTTTACCAGGTAAGTTGTCAGAGAACACATTCTCATTTACAGCAACGACCTGGGGAATAGTTACAGGGGAGAGGAGGGGGGATGAATGAGCCAATTGGAAGCTGGGGATGAGTAGGTGGCCATGATGGTATGGGCCAGATTGGGAATTTAGCCAGGGCACCGGGGTTAACACCCCTACTCTTACGATAAGTGCCATGGGATCTTTTAGTGACCACAGAGAGTCAGGATACCCATTTAACGTCCCATCCGAAAGATGGCCCACTACAAGGGCAATGTCCCCAATCACTGCCCTGGGGCATTGGGATCTTTTTTTTTAGACCTACTGGCCCTCCAACACCACTTCCAGCAGCATCTGGTCTCCCATCCAGGGACCGAACAGGACCAACCCTGCTTAGCTTCAGAGGCAAGCCAGCAGTGGGATGTAGGGTGGTATGCTGCTAATGGTGTCATGGGTGAATGAGCTGTATTAAGAAAGTACTGACCCCTATGACTCTGCAAAATACTGGTGACATGGGAGGATGGGACTAGCTGATGCAGTGATTCTGAATCTTCACAGATTAAAAACGGCAGGAAAATATATTCCATGAGAAATTGAAAAGCAGTTTTACTACTGTAGCAAGCAATGTCTATGAGTAAGCGTCTGAAGCTGTTCAATGATTAGTACAGTTTGTGAAAGAGCTATGACAGATTTTCAGCTTCGGAATTCAAGAGTCTGTCTGATGGATCCAAATACTCTCAAAGTGCCCACTGATGGAACAAAGAACAAAGTATCTCTCTACAAATTGACAAGATTTACTAGTCTTTATGAAAAAAATCCAGAAAAACGCATGTCAAAAATGTTATAAATTGATTTGCATTTTAATGAGGGAAATAAGTATTTGATCCCCTCTCAATCAGAAATATTTCTGGCTCCCAGGTGTCTTTTATACAGGTAACGAGCTGAGATTAGGAGCACACTTCTTTAAAAAAAAAAATTGATTGTAACTTCCATTAATGTAATTGTCTGCATCACTTCCAATCCCCCATGTTTTTATATATATACTCCCCTTTATTACTTTTCAACCCCGCCATCCTTTCCCTACTTGGGGTAAATTAGTGAACAACAATGCTTAGGCCTCTACTTCCAGCTTATACTTACTATCTACATTTTATGGACACAGTCAATTTTACAATAATTATATTTTGTTTGTTTTTTTCTCCTGAACTTCTTCTACTCTCAACCTCTCCGATCATTTTCATGATGTCCATCCGGTTTGCTTCTATATGCCATATCTTTCTAACTGTGCTCTTTCCCAAAAGCTCCCAACATACAACCTATATACTTATTATGGACACAGTATGCGTACATTATTAGTTATCTTGTTATTATTTGTTGTTAGTTGTTATTAGTCCCATCCTTCAACTCCATTCAACACCTCCCATCTATCTCTTAACACCATCCATATAGGATTTCTATTTGCCATATATATTTCAACTGTACTGTGATGTTTTACAGAAGTTCTGAACCTTTCTATTCTCATTGTTTCTACAGATTGTGAATTAAAAATAAACATTTTTGCTAAAAGTATTATTATATTATTGATCGATTGACTATGACTTTTCAGATCACCCAGTAATGCTATCTGCAAGGTTAGCTCCAGGTAAATATTGCAATCCTTTAGTCATTCCTGGACCTGTCCAAAAACAAGCTACAAATGGACGGAACCAAAACAAATGATCTAATGATTCTGTCTCTTCACAGCAAAATCTGCAGAGCTGGGAAGATTGTATCCCCTATATAAATAACATTCTATTGGTAGCAAGAATTTTATATAATAATTTACATTCTTAAGGGAGTGCTCC